TTTAATTGTACTAAATAACAGAATCTGCATTGTATGGGGCTGTTTAAAACATAACTGGATTAAATCAATTGTATATGGTGGGAATATTAAATGAAAACTTTGCATTCCGTTTATAGGAGAGTGGGCAATTTTTGAAACGCAACGCACCTTGGACAGTTGCAGTGGTCTCAAGTCCCTTAACTGGGATCGGCCTGGCTCTTTCTCAGCGCTATGGATTTCCATGCCCAGCTCTTTGCATTCTGCAAATGAAGGAGCTGGGCTTGTCAGCAGCATGGTGGAGGACAGGTTTGTCGGGGGCAGTGTTGCCTCTAAGCTGAGTTAGTGTGAGCTAGCTCACAGTTTTTTAGCCCCCGGCTCACACGTTTTTGTCTTAGCTCAGGAAGGATGGCTCCAGAGCAAACTAATTTATGTAGTAGCCAAATCGTTCGCTCACAACTTTAATGCCGGTAGCTCACAAAGTAGAATTTTCACTCAGAAGACTCCACAGCTTAGAGGGAACATTGGTCGGGGGCTATCGGCCACGAGGGCTCAGTGGCACTTCTGTCAGTTCAGGGGCAGTCCTCTTCCGAATGCCAGTGGCTGAGGGGAAACAAGGGGGAAGCAGAGGTCATTTTGGGGGGATCGCGGGGGATCGCGGTTCCCCCGGGTGAGGTGCGGGGGGTGGGGCACATGATGAAGCCCCGCCCCCTGCTTCCAGCCACCCTGCTTCCAGCCCTCATTCAGCCAGGAGGAGGCAGGAGCATGGGACTGGACGGACCCCCGGTCTGACCCAGCAGGGCTCTTCCGCTATCCTTTGCGGAGAATCTCCCTGATTTGGTCCACGTCAGTCGGAACGCATCATTTCCTGTTAGTGGCTGGCGGCACAGGCACTTCCTGCCGAGCGAGTGTCACAGCGGCAGTTTCCCCTTCCCTCCCAAGGTGGCCGTTCCGTTCCGTGTCCAATCGAAGAAAACGTAGGACAACACAAGTCACATTATTTCCCTGTAAATACACCGTGATAAAATAGATAACTATGTATAACTATTTATATACATACAGTAAGAAGAAATCGTTGAAACAGAAACAGGCCCAAACTCCCTGCTCTTCTTTTTTTTTTGCAAATGGAAGAACGAATCGTTACCCAGAAGGCTCTTTCTGGCCCTACTTGGAGGTTTTGCATACTATCAACCACCTCTTCCAAGGAAAGAGAAAATGTTCCTGGCTTATTCTTTGGAGTCCTTCTGGGATATTCTTCCTGCTGGATGGGGTGGTGGTGGCGGAGGCTGGGTTCACATCCTCAAAAAAACAGCACAAGAACGACAAGTTCCAAAACACACCTTGTTTGCTCTCCACATGCTGGCATGTTCCCTCTAAGCTGCGGAGTCTTGTGAGCAAAAATTCTACTTTGTGAGCTACTGGCATTAACGTTGTGAGCAAGCACTTTGGCTCCTGTATAAATCAGTTTGCTCTTGAGCCATCCTTCCTGAACTAAGACAAAAATGTGTGAGCCGGAGGCTACAAAACTGTGAGCTAGCTCACACTAACTCAGCTTAGAGGAGCACTGGCTGGCTCAGCAGTCAGTTTACGGGCTGATGATCAGGTGGCCAACTCTGGTTTGGGAAATTGGGGGGGGTGTCCTGTGGAGGGGAAGGTTTGGGGAGGGGAAGGGCCCCACAACACCATAGGGTCCACCCTCCAGAGCGGCTGTTTTCTCCAGGGGAACTCATTTTGGTCATCTGGAGATCAACCGTAACAGCGAGAGATCTCCAGGTGCCCCCTGGACGCTGGCAACACTGCTGATGCACCATTCCAGCATTTGAAGCCCAGTCCCTTCCAGAGAGTCTGAGCTGAATGTGAATCATTCCACATGCTCCAGTTTACTGTTAGTTCCCGAGGAGCTGCCGCCGCCAACGTCTGAATGGGCAAACGTGGCAGTCCTGACAGAATGTTTTTTTTAAGGCTGGCACTTCCAAAGTGACAGAAATGGGCTCCGGGGTGATGGTACTGGGCTTGTGTCTCCCTCAACAGCAATTCTGTGCTGCGACTGCCAGTGCTCACAGTGTTCCCTCTAAGCTGAGTTGGTGTGAGCGAGCTCACACATCCTAAAATAAATCAACCCTGACTAGGGTTGCCAAATGCATTTTGGCCGGGAGCGGGGGGGGCTCCCGGCCGGCGTCTAATTCGTGAGCGCGCGCGTCACCCGGAAGTGACGGCGCACGCTGGGGGCGGGGCCACGCCATTTGAGGGGAAAACTTCCCCTCAACACTTCCCCTCAAATGGCGTGGCCCCGCCCGCCCCCAGTGTGCAACGTCACTTCTGGGCGACGCGCGCGCGGGGGTGGGGTTTTCCCCGGGCCCGATTCCGCGTGGGGCGGAAGTCGGGCCTTGAAAGCAGGGGGAAATCCGCCCCCTCGGGGGGATTTGGGAACCCTAACCCTGACTGTTCCCTGGAAGGCCAGATAATGAAACTGAAGCTCAAATACTTTGGCCACCCA